CCAGCCCATGCCTTTGGGCAATCTGGGCCAGGGGGCACATATAGATGTTAAATAGCATCGGGAAGAGCACAGCCCCCTGAGGCACTTCACATACTAGTGGGTGCCTTCGGGATTGCTGCTCCCCAATAGCCACCCTTTGTCCCCGACCTTGGAGAAAGGAGACAAGCCACTACATGGCAAGCCCCTGAATCCCCATGTCGGCGAGGCAGTGGGTGAGTAGCTGGTGGTCAACCATGTCGAACGCTGCTGACAGGTTTAACAACAGCAGCACCGCTGCACCGCCCCGATCTAGGTCCCACCGGAGGTCATCTGTGAGGGTGACCAGTGCTGTCTTCGTCTCATGGCCTGAGCAGAAGTCGGACTGGAAAGGATCTAGCATGGAATTGTCATCCATAAAGCTCTGCAACTGTATTGCCACCGCCTCTCAATTAATTTGCTCAAATAGGGCAAATTGGAAACCAGCCGGTAGTTAGCCAATTCGGTCGGATCCAGAGATGTTTTTTTGAGGAGAGGACGGACCATTGCTTCCTTGAAAGCCCCCGGGAACAGTCACTCAGAGAGGGATTTGTTGATAATATCCCTGAGAGCACCTCGAAACCCCTCGCAGCCAGCTTTAATTAGCCAGGAGGGGCACAGGTCAAGGCTGCATGTGGTTGGATGTACAGTTGAGATCAATCTGTCAACTTCCTCCAGACTGAGTGGACTGAAATAATCCAGAATGGGACCAGAAGATGTGCATGGAGCCTCGAGTTCGCTCACTGTCTCAACTGTGGCAGGGAGGTTGCGGCGTAGCGATAAGACTTTATCTCCAAAATAGCTCACAAAAGCCTCATGGCCAATATCCAATTCCCTAATATTTTGTCTGCCCTGCAGCAGAACGGTTAAGGACCGAAATCGTTCTATACAATTGTGCCGGGCGTGAGCTTGCAGACACAATCGTGGCTGCAAAGAACTCCCTCTTCACAGCTTTGACTGCCACGTCATAGGATCTCGTAAACGTCCTATAAGATGCTCTTGTTGCTTCGTCACGAGCACGCCGCCACTATCTCTCTAGCCGTCTAAGCCTTCGCTTCATCAGCCTCAGCTTCTGGGTGTACCAGGGAGCCAGCCTAACGTGGGAGTGCAGAGGGCACCTGGGAGCGATCTCGTCGATGGCTGTTGAGAGTCGGCCTTGCCAGACCTCGACTAGCTCATCTAGCGAGCCACCAAGGGGCATAGGATCCCGAAGAGCCATCTGAAGCCACACTGGGTCCATTTGGCTCTGCAGGCGAGCTAAAATGCGCTCGTCGCCCAAGCAGGGTTGGGGTGACACATTCACTTGGGCCTTCAGAGCATGGTGGTCTGACCATGGAACTGCCATGGTAGTAATCCGGTCCAGTGTAACCCCCGCTGCAAAGATCAGATCAAGCATGTGACCGGCTCGGTGAGTGGGGGCCGTTACGTATTGGGAGAGTCCCAGCGCTGCCATGAATGACACCAGGTCCACCACCTGTGAGGAAGCTGCATCATTGGCATGGACATTGAAGTCACCCAAGACTATCACTCTAGGGTGCTCCAATGCCCAGCCCAACATGGCCTCCACCAGGGATAACAGCCTGTCGGGCAGTGCGTTGGGCAAGTCAGTACACCAACCAAACAGCCAAACTCTCCCTGGCTTCCCACACGAAGCTGGCACACTCAATGCTCTGGTAGCACCCTGAAGGAGTAAGCCTCCCGAATGAACAGTGCCACTCCTCCCCCCTGCCCTATAGTCCGAGATTGGTGAAGGACCGAGAACCCGGGTGGAGCCAAATGGGAGAGAGCAACTGTCCCCCCATCTCGTACCCAGGTCTCGGTCGCACACCAGGTCCACATCTTGCTCCAGCAGGAAGTCATGAAGGACTGAGGTTTTATTATTTGTGGACCTTGTGTTGCACAACACCAATGTCGGAGTGGGGTTTTTAATCCTCGTCCCAACTGCCTGCCACCTTTGGGATGGGACACAGGCTGGAAAGAGGCCAAGCTTCTCTATTTCTCTGCCCCCTTCCCTTCCATTTCCACCTGGTCCCACTGCTATACTTTCCCCTCCCCAGGAGCACTGGTATACCCTGGTCCATAATTTCCAGCTGCTAATGATCTTCGCTACCCTGACCTTGGTAGATATCAGGATAGGTGTTGGTGGGTGCTATGGCTCCCATGGCCTATATGTTGGGGACCCCTGCTCTGACCATTAAATACGAGACAGTCATGTAAAGTGGTGGGAATGCAACATGAAAAGTAGAAGAGTTTTTGGTGCATTGTTTTACATTCCTCACATTTGATTACTTGTGTTGTTTGGTCAGAGTTTAGAGAACCACAAATGCAGTTTTATGTTTTGTTAATAATAAACAATAGGAATGTGTGGAGGATGCTTTTGCTATTCTTGGACTTACCAAAAGTGTTCTGTTGTGATTTAAAAAAAACTTAGTTGAAAACTTTATAATTGGTAGATTTCAGTCAAATTGTTTTTCTCTGTGGACAGACGAGGCTTGTATAACAACGTGCCCTTTCTTGTTCTGAAAAGCTGGCAGAGGAACAGGCATCACTTTGTCTTTTGTTTCTCATGTTTATTTCATTACTATTAGCATGTATGACATGTCTTGGAAATCAGCACAGTGAAGACCACAGCATTATGCTTTTAGAGGTTTCCCCCCAGTTTGCTTAGGGTTCGCTGTGGAAGATATTTATCTAGTGCCTTTTTATCCCTCCCTTCCTCCAAGGAGCTCAGGATGGCATACATGGATCTCTCTTCCAAATAAATAATTAATCTTTAATCTGTATTATTTTGTCCATAACAAAAAAGATTTGTAGTTTTCAATTTCCTGTTTCTACATTTTTTAAAAAAGAAATTAAGAGAGAGAGAGAGAGAGAGACTATCTCACCTTTAATTTCAAGCAGGATAGAGGATTTTGTTGAAATAACAGTAGACTTCTGGAGAATGATGAACAGCTGATTCATAGGTCCTTATTATAGTTATAAATTGAAATTCTTAAAAAATTGATAAACTTTTCATCCACATGCAAAAATAACATACCAAAAATATAATTGATTTGAAAACTGTTAGGAAAGAAGGCTCAGGTTTACACTGAGTGCTTTTGTGTAATCTATACTTGAGTAATATATGACCTAGAGGAAAGTCACTAAAGACAATCTTAAGGGTGAATTTCTCATGCCAGTTGCTTTTTGGGTGTGTGCGTTAGCATGAATAGAGAAGTGGCCACACAACTTTTTCCTCTTAGGACATCATCACCTATCAGTAAACAGTGTCTCCAAAGTACAGCCATTCACCATTTATAGTTTCTATCCATGTTTAAAAAAAATGGACCTCGAACATCCTAGTTTGAATCCCCATTTTGCAATGGAAGCTTTGTAGGTGACCTTGGGCCAGTTATACACTCTCAGCCTAACCTGCCTCATAATGTTATTCTGAAGACAAAATGGAAGAGAGGAAAACTGTGTAAACTGCTTTAGGCCTGTGGTAAAAATGGTGATGGAAAGTGCCATCGAGTCACAGAAGACGTACGTTGACTCCACAAGGTTTTTAAGGTTAACCCCACTAACTGAATGTGTACTTTCTGAGGGGAAGAAACACACCACAAACACAAACAAACCAGCCTGTAAGATCTGTCTATATATATATGTGAAGATATATGAATAAATGGTGGCAGTGTGAGATTGAAGCAGTGTTTGGGTCCTAACCCCAATAGCTCCGTGAAGTGTCCTGAGTGAGGGGTAGTTGATAAGGGAACTGGGCTGCCCTGTCTGGTAGTGTCTGTGGGAATGAGAGGGGACCTTGTGTGTGAAAGGCTCAGGGCTCTCCATATACTAAAAAGGGGCAAGATGGGTGGGTGGCATATTGTAGCTGCCTAACTTAGCTGTCTCCCTGAATCTGTGTAGCAGAAGTTGATATGGGTAGTAGTGTTTGTGAAGTGGGGCCATACGTACATATGTAATTGTTTATTTTATTTATTTATTTTATTTGACTTATATCCTTCCCTCCCCGCATGGCAGGCTCAGGGCGAGTTACATAAAATTTGATAAAAATACAATATACACAATTAATACGATTAAAACACTAGTAAAATACCACAATGGCCTTCAACCGATGCCGTTGTCATTGCTCTTACCATTAGTATTCAAACAGTGAGAAAAGGAAATGAACTGTGCCAAAGGACTGTACACTGTTTAAGGAATGGTTTAGTAAAATTATTCAGATGGTTCAGTGAAATGAATAAGGTCATAAGACAGATACCTCCATGGTTTTTATTTTTAGCCAATTTAATCTAAGGGGAAAAAAATCATTTTTAAAGCTGAATGCTGAAATTACACGTTATTAGAATACAGCAACTTCCTTCCACAGTTGCTAAGTGAAGCAACAGGCTTCATCCTGTCAAGGTTTCACTTTCAGTTCTCTTAGTTCTGCTTCACTGTTCACCTTGCCATACTTGGGGGGGGGAGGGAATTCCTGAGGGGAGTGTGTGTGGATTGCGTGCCTGTCTGTAGTAGCCATAATTATTCCTCAAGTTGCACCCCTCAGCCTGTTCTCATGGGATTTGGCCTTGGAGACTCTTTCGCTAGGCTGGAGTAGATAATACACCCTATATCTGTCAGGGTTGTCACAGAAACCCTAGTGTTTTAACTGTGGATCTGACACATTCTATCCTTTGTCAATGCATTCAGTTTGGGGATGGACATGACTTACTGGTACAACACGTTTTTTGGATGTAAAAGGTTCTAGGTTCCCTGGCATATCTGGGAAAACTTTCTCAGGAAGCAGCTGCTGGGAGATATTTTCTCTGCCTGACAATTTAGAGACCTTTCCCCGTCGGAATAAACAGTAATAAGATGGAAGGACCATAGGTCCAACTTCTATAAACCAGTTTGTTACATTCAACTCACTAAAATAAAACAAAATTCTTTGCTGTTGCAGCTGCTGACAGTAAGTTCCCACACCCAACTAAACTGTGGTCCTTGTTTTGCAGGCCAGACCTGATAGACATGAATACCGTTGCTGTTCAAAGCAACCTTGCAAATTTAGAGCATGCTTTTTTTGCAGCAGAAAAACTTGGTGTTGCCAGACTTCTGGATCCTGAAGGTGAGTAGTGAAGAGAATAATGTGTGAGCTTTGGAATCTAATATTCTAATGTTTACATGGTGATTGTAAGCTACCTGTATGTAATGTTCTTTTTAGATGTTGATGTCTCCTCGCCTGATGAGAAATCAGTAATCACATATGTGTCATCACTTTATGATGCATTTCCCAAAGTACCAGAAGGCGGTGAAGGCATCAGTGCAAATGTAAGTAGTATTTACCTGTTCCTTGTTCACACAAAACAAGTTCACTGAGGAAATTATACCAAGAACAGGATGTTTTTTTGGTATTGTTTGGATTTGGAAATGTTTCCTTCCAGGTAAAACCTGAACCCTGTTTAACCATATATTACTCAAATCTATATTGTATTGCACTCGTAGTTGGTCAGTCTCTGACAGTTGGTTGAATTCAGGGGTGGATTGGCCATTAAGGCCACCAGGAATACTCCTGGTGAATTGATGGCTTGAGGGATACCCCCACCAGGGCCATCCCAACCCCAAAACAGCTAGGTGCAGTAGCGAGGGACAGGACTGCCCAACCCAGCACCACATTGCTGCAGTGAGAGAGAGGACAGGGCCACTCGGCTCAGCTTCACCTGCCCAGATGCCTTGGCCAGGCCCTTCTGCTCTAGGGTGGCTGGTAGGGCTCTCCTTCCCTCTTTTGGGGGAGCCCTTTTGCTGGGTTGTTTTCTCCCCTCAGTCCTCCTGGCTGAGTTTCTGTGACAGCACTGAATTTTGTTCCTGAACATTTCAGCAGCCCAGGGAACAAATCTGAAAAAATGTTCTCAGCCCACTTTTTATGACAGAAGGTACAGGTGGTGATTTGACTGAAGCTGAAACCTAATACAGACCATGGGGACTGGAGTACCTTTAAGGAGAAGGTTAAATACTGGGAATCGTTTCCAGGAGGTTAAAAAAAAAAGAGCTAAGTGTCTGACAGCCTAGAAATAAAGTGGCTAAAGGAAGTTGGAGGAATAGACATTACATTGAAAAGCAGGGACCTGATGAAACTGCAAAGAAAGATGAAGCCAAGGAGAATGTAGGACTGGGCCAAAACCTCACATTGGGTATAAGGCCAGGAAGGAATTAGAAAGATAAGGGAAATTAGGATGCCTGGAATATGTGAGTCCCAGTTGTTGGGTCTGCAGTCTAGAATCTGCCAGGGATGGCATAATCCTAAGAGTTGCATAAAAGGAGAATTTTGCCAGGCTTCTGATGTTGCTGCAGCATTCTAACCTGGTAGCTCTGCAGTGCTGATGAAGGTGGGTTCCACTATTATACCATCACCGCACCACTGTTATCTAGTGGAGTGGGTATAATTGGGGGGGAATGAGACGGCCCTGGGATGAAGAGCTGATGGCAGTGCTGTGTGGAACTCTTGTTGTTCTGGGTCTGTCCTTCCAGAGCCCCGTCTCTGTGATTAAGGGATTTGTGACAACCAGAGCACTCGCACGTTATTGTATTGTTTAAGATTGTTTTATTCTGTTTTTAACTGTTTTAACCTTGGCATACGTGCCTCTTCTGCTAGTCGCCCTGAGCCCGCTCTGGGGAGGGCGGGGTATGAATTTAATAAATAAAAAACATGTTATGCTAGACTAACAAGACAGCTTTTTTGTTGCAGGCCTCTACAGGTTGCTGTTTACTCCTAGGAAATTAGGTTTAAAGTAATCTTACTAACACTTATTTGATTCTCTTAGGATGTTGAAGTCAAGTGGGTTGAATACCAGAATATGGTGAACTACCTCATCCAGTGGATCAGGCACCATGCCACAATAATGGCTGACCGATCGTTTCCAAACAATCCTGTGGAACTCAAGGTGGGCTTTGACACTGTGGGTTCTCTTCCCCTGCATATGGTAAATAGGGTGGATTAATTTAATGCAGTTAATTTAAAGGGGGGAGGCTGATATAAATCCTTCTTAAACAAAAGTATGTAGTAATATGTTGGGAAGGACGGCAGCATGGTACAGCCCAGTCTCGTCAGATCTTGGAAGCTAAACAGGGTCAGCATTTGGATGGGAGACCACCAAGGAAGACTGCAGAGGAAGGCAATGGCAAACGATCTTTGCTTAATCACTTGCCTTGAAAGTCCCTTGCTGGGTTCACCATAAGTTGGTTGTAACTTGACAGCACTTACGTACATTAGTAATATTGGTGTAATATAAAAAGTACTGATTTAAAATAGAGTAAAGCCTTTATGAAAGCTTTTTTAGCATTAAAAAATTATATATAATGTATTGTTTATTTTTAGATACCAATGCTTTCGATACCAAAGACTGATGCGGTCTTTGTTGAGAGGTCTTTGTAGACAGATGCTACTTGGATTAAACACTAAAAGGCACTTCTCCTTTCCACTGTTCCTTTCTGCTTTAATTTGCCCTTCATTCTTCGTTGTGTAACTGCCACCCCCATAAATAACCAACCAGGAGCAAGGTCTGGTAATAAGTACTGGGCAGATTAGTGCTGTTCATGAGTTGGAAGGTAAATGTTCATGTTCTTTGGTAGACAGAATCCTCATAAATAGAATACTGAGGGAATTGCAGAGATCAGGTAGTTTACTATGAATAAAACAGGAGGGATTGGTTGCATTCCTAAGGATACTTTCCTAGGAGTAAGCCACTGAATAACAGAACTTGCCTATAAGTAGACCTGTGTAGGATTGTTCCTATAGGCTGCAATCCTAAGGACTCTTGCCTAGGAGTAATGGGATTGATTTCAGAGTAGACCTGCTTAGGAGTGCTCCCATAATCATGCAAATGATCATTTGGTGATACCTGTGGTGACTTGCCAGTACCTAAATCCCAGTTGTCATGATGTGCTGAATGTCTGAGAAGATGTTTTCCTCAGAATTCTTTCTTTACAAAGCGTGTCTTCTGTGCAGTCCCACATGGGAGTGCCTGCAGGCAGGCTTGCCGCAGGAGAAAGTTCCAAGAGCTTCTAGAATGATCAAGTTGATTAGTCGTGGAGGCGAGCTGCCACTTGTTTTCCCACCTATTTGGTCATGTGACGAGGGGAGGGGGAGGCATTATTCCCTCATTCCTTTTTCTGCCACCGTAGAGAAAGGACGTTCCAAAGCATCTCTCTCCTTTTCCTCAACCTTCGTTGTTGTACTGCTTCAAAAAGGAAATAAAAGAAAAGAAAAACATAGAAAATAATAAGAAGGAGCCTTCTACTTACCCGTTTGAACAGTCTGTCTCTGGGGACAGGGAATGGCTCTCTTCAAGAAATACCAATCCTGTGGAACCAAAATGGCTTCCAACGATGAACACCTCAGATGTCTCCTATGTCTTGGGGAGGGTCACAAGATGGCTTCCTGCAGGGCCTGTAGCCTTTTAACCCAAAGACAAGGCAGGACAGGTCTCTGAGGCTGAAGGCAGCTTTCTGGGAACAGTCTTTAGCAGCTCCAACGGAGAAACCGTCTCCTCAGACCACAGATAAGTCTCCTTCAGGAGCACTCAAAAAGTCCCATTGGCCGAAGCAATGCTCGGCAGGGACCCCTTGTAGCCCATCTGTTGTGACTCTACCGCTTGTGAAAAAAGCCCAAAAGGCGCCATCACAGCCCAGGTCTCTCACACCGGCTCCTCCTCTAGAGCGTCTGGCCATAGCTTCCGCCGGTTCCCACGATTCAGACCCGGCTGCATTCACCGTCAGCGCCTCCAATGCCAACGACTGCTACGGCCCCAAGGTGATCAAGGTCGACTAGGCGACAAAGCCCGGGCTCATGATGCCGGAGATGTTCGCCGTCGACCCACCAAGGGTCTGTCCGATGTCAACAGCCCTCCCAGACTTTGGCTTGGTCTCCCTCTTCAACTGATAACGTCGAGATCATCAGCCCCCCAAGGTCGAAGGGCTTTTCATGGTCTCGTTCCTCTGCCTCCAGGAGACACGCTACATCCCCTTGGGGATAACCTCCGAGTTGGGATCAAGTTCCCCCCCTGGATTATGCCTCTGGTACTGCAGAGATTCCATCACTCACAGCCATAGTCGATGTTGAAGTCTCAGCCTTTCTTCCTGTCGTCGCCGGTCACTGACCGGTTCCAGGTCCTGAGATCATTACACTTCTGGTAGTCAGCAGGATCCAGATTTTCTAATCTCAGAGCCCCTGCAAGACCCTGCATCAGATGTAGAATCGGAGTGTACTTCCTTCCCATCCCCAGATGAGGCGGTCAGAGATCCTGGTCCTGTATCCCCAACTGAGGACTTGCGAGTTTACTCTGAGCAATTGCTCAGAATGGTGAAAGCCCTCAAACTTGATTTTAGTCCAGCAAATCCTGCGGAAGAAGACCTAATGATGGACATATTGTATTGTTCTGACCCTGGCCCTGTGGCCATCCCACTGCTTAAGGGCATTAGGGAAATAGCGAAAAATACATGGGCAAGACCTTCCTCTAATGCGTCCACCACTAGGAAAGTGGAAAATCTTTACAAGATTAGAGAGGAAGATGCTTATTTTTTATACCACCATCCTTAACCAAGTTCTATGGTGGCAGAAATGATTCCCTCTAAATAGACGGGGGGACCCTGATCTGCCCCCCTGGATAAGGAAGGGTGGAAATTGGATATTTTAGGGCAAAAGATCTATTCCTCAGGTGCCTTAACCCTCAGGGTTGCCAGTTTTAAGGCTATAATGGCCAAATACCAAGTTCTATTGTGGGACCAAATGTCTCCTTTCCTTGATTGTTTGTCTGATGATAAGAAGGATCAGGCTAAGCTCATTCAATCTGAGGGATCCAAGCTAGCTAAGTAAGAATTAAATGCTGCTAGATATACAGCTGATGCAGCTAGTAAAGTTATTGCTTCGGCCATAGTCTTATGAAGACATTGTTGGCTATGCACGTCTGCTCTCCTCTTGACACCAGGTTTCGCATTGAAGACTTTCCTTTTGAAGGCAAACTACTCTTTAGTGAGCAAACTGACGAGGTGTTAGAGAAGGTTAGAAAGACCAAGGTCACTGCTAAGTCTTTGGGTCTTAGCTCCCAACAACGTGCACCAACTAAACCCAGATATTTTCCCAGGCATTTTCCACAACCCTTGGTTGGCAGAGGGTATCAGTTCCAGTCAACTCCCTTCCAGACCTATAGGAGTCCCTATAATGTTGCCTATCCTGCCTGGAGACAACAACCTCGTCAAGGGAATCAGCATGCGAAGTCCCTCCACAGTTCTTTGAAATCTAGAGCGTTAACAATGAAGGGCTGCTCCTCTGTTCAGGGCTGCTCCTCTGTTCAGGACATGTCTCCTTACCTTTGCTGAATGTTGGTCAGTTATTTGTTCTGATTCATGGGTGTTGGATATAATAAAGTTCAGTTATTTTTGCGAGTTTAAAGACATGCCCCCGACTTTTTATGAGGTTCCTGCTCGATCCCACCCACAGGACGGATTACAGACTGAGATTCAGGGCCTTTTGGATAAGGGACCGCTTGAGAAAGTCTCTGAGTCAGAGGAGTCCATTGGTTTCTATTCCAATTATTTTCTGATAAAGAAGAGAGGTGGGGGCCACAGGCCTATACTAGATCTTAGGGACCTGAATGCCTACCTAAATGAGCACAAGTTTTGCATGTTGTCCCTGACAGATGTATACCCTTCCATTAACCAGGGTGCCTGGTTTGCCGTCCTTGATTTACAGGACACATATTTCCATACATGACACTTGTAAGAGGTACTTACGGTTCCAGTTTCAGGGTACCTTTTATCAATACACTGTTTTACCATTCGGTCTGGCCACAGCCCCGAGAATGTTTACCAAGTGTTTCTCTGCTGTAGTTGCACATCTGAGACTATGGGGCTGCCATATATATGCCTATTTAGATTATTGGCTTCTGGGGGTGGACTCTAAGGAACTTCTGGTCTCTCATGTGGACCTGACTGTCCATAGATTTAACAAATCTAAGCTAATGCCATCGCAGTCCACCAAATTTATCGGTGCATGACTTGATTCCATAGCCCACAGGGCATTCCTCCCAATTGATAGGGCCAGGGTCATACAGGACATAGTAAACTCTTTTTGTCGTTCTCGGTTTCAAAAGGCCCACAGAATTCAAAGCCTTCTAGGTCTCATGGCTGCCACTACTTCCACTGTCCCTTATGCCAGGATTCATATGAGGCCTTTACAGAATTTGTTCTTACGATCGTTTACCATGGGTGTTGATCCTCCATGGAGATGCCTGTCGATTCCACGGAAGATCCTTCAGTCCCTTCTGTGGTGGGCTGCGGATGCAAACTTGTTACATGGCTTTCCCCTGACTCTGGAGTTCCCTCAATTGCATCTTTATACATATGCATTCCTGGAGGGCTGGGGTGCTCACTGTGACTCTATACAACTGAGTGGTCAGTGGAGTGTGTATGAATCTGTGCTGCACATTAATGTCCTTGAGCTCAGAGCAGTAAGGTATGTCCTTCTTTCTCTTACAGACCTTGTCTCTGGCAAGACCGTTTTGCTCTCTACCAACAATGTAGCAACAAAGTTTTATATCAACAAGCAAGGTGGCACAGGTTCTCTTACACTATTCAGAGAAACCTCCCTTCTTTGGGACATGGCTATTCACCATGGTATTCATTTGGTAGCCATTCACATCCCAGGTTGCACCAATACTTTGGTCGATTCCCTGAGCAGAAAAACCCAGCTGGATCACGAGGGGTCCGTTCCACTACAGTATCTCCCTTCCATATTTCAAATATGGGGCACCCTGGTGATAGATCTTTTCACCTCATATCAGAACACCAGGTGTCCTGTTTTTTGTTCTCGAGCGTCAAGAAAGGGAAACTGTCTAAGGGATGCATTCCTTCTGAAATGGACAAGCATCCTGTTCTACGCTTTCCC